TATGGAGATCTATGCAGTAAGGAACTGAGGCCTCCAGTCAAGAGCAGCAGAAAACAGAGGATTCCAATCAATAGCCATGTGAATGAGCTATCTTGGAAGCAAGTCTTTCAGCTCTAGTCAAACCTTAAGCGAACTGGCAAACTGGCTGACATCTTCACTGCAAGTTCATGAGAAACACTGATCGAGAACCATCTACCCAAGTAACCTTCAAATTCCTGATCCACAGCATATGTGATAATAAAACTTGTTCTAAGCCACGAAGACTTGGGATAGGTAGTTAGGCAGCAAAAGATAATCAATATAGGGAACATCATTATAGACCCTAAAAAGATTCACTAAAAGGATAATAATGGAATATTATAAAATAACATTTAAGCCAACAAATTCGAAAGTCTAAAGGAAAAGGACACAAACTGCCAAAGCTCACTCAAAAAAAAAAAAAAAGGAACAACCTAATAATAGAGAAAATATCTTCTTTAAATCACAGGGTTTATTCTCATACACACATACACATACAAAGGATCAGTAAGTTTCACACACTATAATTTTTACAAACATTACCTAATCACAAAAGAACCTGAAATAACAAAATTAAAAAATCAAAAAAAGACTTGAGAAAATGTTTTACTTTTCTATGAAATAACTCCTAGGTACAAGGGATCTACAAAGTAAACTTAAGTACTAAAACATGATGAAGAAGAAACACTGCAAGTCAGCATATACGAAGTACTATAGAAACAGTAAGAGGAAAATACAGAGCCATAAAAACTTGTATCAATACAAATGCACTCTCACAACCAAATAATGAAAGTAATGATTATAATCCATTAAACAAATTATTTTTAAAACCAACAGTCCCTTCTGATAAAAGTAAGTGGGGAAAAAGAGAAAGCTACTCCTTACAATAAAATGACAATAAAGAAAAACTAGTGAAGTTAAAAAAAATCATCATTTGGTGCAGCACCTAGGTGGCTGACTGAGCATCACTCTTGATTTCAGCTCAGGTCATGATCTCAAGGTTCATGGGTTCGAGCCCTGCATCTGGCTCTGTGCTGACAGTGCACAGACTGCCTGGGATTCCTTCTCTCTCTCTCTCTCTGGCCCTCCCTCACTCATGCACACACTGTCTTTCTCTCTCAAAAGAAATAAACTTTAAAAAAGAAAATGAAATCATCATTTATTTGGCAACCACCACAAAACTAACTGGTTCATTCAAGAGTCAATAGATGCTAAAGCTGGTGTGTGTACCTGCATGTTTGAGGCCTCAGAGTAGCTCTCTAGAAGTACTTCTGAATTACAAAATGAAAACCTGGCACAAGCCATCTAATCACCGGTGATTAGAGGTAACATCACCAAGGAGACCTGCTGACTTCACGTGCCCTGAAAACGACACAACATTCTATGTCATCTCTGCCAAAGTTACATGATCTAAATCTAATGATAAAGAAACATCAGTCAAACCCAAACTGAGAGACATTCTGCCTAATAACCAAACTGTATTCTTAATATCAAGCGTGGGGCATCTGGGTGGCTCAGTCAGTTAAGCGCCGGACCCTTGGTTTCAGCTCAAGTTATGATCTCACTCATGGTTTGGTGGGTTCTAGCCCGCATCAGACTCTGCACTGACAGTGTGGAGCCTGCTTGGGATTCTCTCTCTCTCCCCCCTTCCCTCCCTCTACCCCTCCCTGACTGACATGGTCTTTGTCTCTTTCAAAGCAAATAAATAAACTTTAAAAAAAATTATCAAGTTTGTTAAAAGCAAAGGGACCATGGAACCATTCCAGATTAAAGAGGTATGTCACCTAAATGTAATGTGAGATCTTTCAGGAGGCTGGAAAGGGCTACAGAATATGTAATTGCAAAATCAACAAAATTTGAATTTGGAGTCCAGATAATGGCATTACATCATGATTAAATTTCCAGTAACCATAGTTACTGTGGGTTTATATAAGTGTACCCTTGTTCTCATGAAATATATGCTGAAATATTTAAGAATAAAGAGGCACTATGTCTACAACCTAATCTCAAACTGTTCAGAAAAATAATGTATATATACCCATCCACATACATACTCAGAATAATAAATCAAATGGGGCAAAAGTAAAATGGTGAATCTAGGTAATCTTCATACATGCTTGTTATTGTAAGTTTGAAATTATATAAAAGACACACATTTTTAGACAAAAATCAGCTCCACCTAACAAAATAATGTTAAATTAGGTTGTTTAGGTTAAGACGCTGCTTAAGGCAGGTATCAATCAGAATGGTAGCAACAGCAAAGTCACAGGCAAATTTCATCTAATCTCAACTCTGATGTTTACCCATTTTCTAAGAGGCTTTAGTAGACAACACATTTAACACAAAGTACTTTCCTCAAAGTGCCTAAAAGGCGGGAAACATGGTTCCTGATAAAAACATAATTTAAGATCTCTTCAGTTGTTCTAAATGTTGTCTGAAAGTGAACCATGGTTTCACCTAAGTCATTCAAGACCGATACTTCCAACTGCAGAACGGAAAAATGAACTACTTTTACTCCCAAAATAATAATGAAATTCAACCTCTACTTTGTGATGATACCCATGAATTTGAAGGAAAATGAAAATATCCATATGTCTCCCTCTCTAACCTTCCTGTAATCACAGTGTATTTTGATTAGTTATACACTCAATATTCTGAGGGGTGGGTAAAAGTTTCCTTTAGCAAGTAAATTTGGGCACTCATTATTTTTGAGAGATAAACGTAAGCTTTGCGTAAACTTCAAAACACATGGTAATTCCAGGATATGGCCCTGATCTTCAAAAAGTATGTGTGCTGGTGGGGAAATGGCAGGTAAAGACTGTCTATCTTCTAGGCACAAACACCCAGTCCTAAAATAAATAAGTTAAGGGGATGTAACGTACAGCATGGCAACCAGAGTTAATACTATTGTGTATCTGAAAGCTGCTAAGAGACTAATCTTAAAAGTTCCCATTACAGCAAAAAATTCTACAGCTACATATGGCAAATCGGATGAACAACTAGACTGAACTGTGATCATTTCACAATACATACGTATACTGAATCATTATGTTGTACACCTGAAATATGTTGCATGTCATTTATAACTAAAAAAAAAAAACATGAAATATGCTTCTCTTTAAAGTAAAATAAATTATGAAGTTTTCAAATACCCAATACTCATTTTTGAAAGGTGAAACGATTCTCTTAATGACTATAATTAAGAGTTAAATTTTACCTCCATCCCATTAATTTAATACTGGCAATGTCTGTTTTGATGAAAATCGTTGAATGGAGCGTTAATCAAGGTAAGGTGGGGCAATGCAATTATTCATTTTCCTTTCAGAAAATAAAAATAATTCTGAAAATAGAAATTTTTATTCATCATGATACTTTTTTCCAAATTATCTGGTTAATCACTAAATTTTAAATTTATTATTATGACAAAATTGCATAATTTGCTTTTCTATAAAACTGAGTTCAAATAATCTTGCCTAAGACTCAAACCTATTTTCCCAGCAAATACAGTTCTCCTTCAATGTTGTTTAAATAAGACCACTTTGTTTCTTTCCTCTTCAGGAATTTCTCCTTATTTTGCAGAGCAAATCAAATCCTCTGGTTAGTCAGTCACTTGTTAAATTTTACAGCTAGAAGGTACCGCTGATAATTTAACCTATTCACGACCCATACTTTAAGTTGTGCAGGTGGTTAGGGCCCACTGCCTAGTTAAGCATCAGTCACTTAAGCATGACTCTTGATTTCAGCTCAGGTCATGATCTCACTGTTGATGAATTCAGAGCTGCACATCAGGCTTTGTGCTGAAAGCCTGGAGCCTGCTTGAGATTTTCTTTCTCTCTCTCTCTCTCTCTCTCTTTCCCCCGTTCGTGCTCCATCTCTCTCTCACTCTCCCTCTTTCTCTCAATAAACTTTAAAAACTTTTTTAAAATGTTGCAGGTCATGGTTCATTTGTGTGTGGTTTCACCAGTTTTTCCTTACACTGAATCCATTAATTTTAAAAGATTAAAACATGTGTGTGTGTGTGCGCGCGCGCGCGCTGATCAAGGAGGTGGTATCATGTTGAGTATAAAGGTAAGGGAGCGAAAATCTATATTCAAAATTCTACCCTAAGGGATCTTGGTGCAACACAGAGGAGCAAAATCCAGGGGTGGAATCACACAGCCTGGCTTTAAGACATTCTGGGGATCACGGGCAAGTAACTTAACCTCTCCACCTGCCCATGCCTTGATTTGCTCAACTACGAAGAGAGAAGGTTTTTTTTTCTATTCTGCCTCAAGGGGCTGAGCATTAGTGAAATCACGAAATTAGAAAGCGCTCTGTAAACTTCAAGATGTACACGTGTGTTACTATGTGCAATAAACTCCGCAAGAGAAGCCACTTGCACTCAGGAAAAGTAATTCTGTTGTCAAGATTCCGTACAAAATATCGGATGGATGTGTTCAGATACACACGACTTAGCTCAGAGTCAAACGGAGGTTTTCCTCAAAAAAAAAAAAAAGTACATATTTATATTATGGTCTGGAAAACGAACATAATTAGAACGGATTTCCTTGTGAACGGGCACCAGCCTTCGTGGGGCTTGGAGAGAGGGGATGGTGGTGGAATCGAGGTAGGCAAAAATTTGCAGAAAAACAAAACAAAACAAAAAACTCCACAGAGTTAAAACGTGGGACAGACAGAAAGTCAGGAAGCGGAGCGAGGGGGCGTGGCCCTCCACCCCGCCCCCCGCTCCAGGCGCGCGCGGTGGCCGCCGGCCGAGCCCCTGACTGCGACCCCGTCCCAGGCCCCGACGCGGTAGGGGGGGCCGGCTGCCAGCAACAGCGGCCACCCCCAGACCTCTAGACCCCGAGGAGCGGTCCCGCGCCGCCCTCCTCGACCCCCACTGGTCCGGCCGCTAACCGCTCCCGTAACTGACTTCCAGGGGCGGAGCTGCGCCGCGCGAGAGAAGGGCCCAGCTAGCGAGCGAGCAACAAGCGGGCGGGTACCTGAACCGAAATGAATCCTTCGTACACGGTTTTCGCCCGGTTCTGAGGCAGAAGCAGCGGGCACTGGCGCAACAGGCTCGCTTCCATCTCCGCCATAGCTGGCCGTTCGTGGAGCCGCCGGGGGTTTCTCCGCTCGCCGGGCTCCGCACATGCGCAGTCCCGCCAGAGCCCTGGTCGCCGAGGGGCGGAAGCTTGGGCTTTGGCGGGAAAAGGCCTCGAAGATTCCGCGCGAGGGGAAATGAAGATCTTGCGCCAATCCGGGCAGCTGGACTCAGGCCCAGCCACAGGAGATGCTCGGCGGGAGGCAGCATTGGCCCCAATAGGGGGCAGGAGGGAAGACTGTTCTCAGATTCACAAATGTAATTGAACAAGATCATTCCAGCTTTGATCGTCCCATATAACCCTTTTGGTAACTGTGTTTGATTTTACTGAAAGACTACGGCAACTCTGTGGAGTTGCATTTCTTCCCGCGTCAGATGATTTGTACAGCCTGGGTATTGTATTTCCTTTACCCTGAACCTGCTTCAACTAGCCTTCTTCACTGTAATCAGTCTGTTAACCTGTTCTACAGGGCCTTCTTTATGCCTTCAGCATACAGAAAAAATGCATTATTTTGTATGCATTACCCATTCAGTATATCATATGCAACATTGTAATTCTATGGTTTACCAAGTTTAGTTAGATACTATTTGAGAAGTGCACAATTGCATGTGTGTATGTGTGTGTGTGTATACACACTTATCTCCAGATATGAGTCAACACCTACTTGGCTTTGGTGCACTGCATTCACAAGTGTCTAAAAGTAAAACATGAGGAAAGATTGCTGATAAACTTGATGAGTCTAAGTTAATTTTTCTTTGATAACCCTTTCTATACATTTTTTAACTCAGGAACAGAGATTATCATTTCCTTTTACTGAGGGTTGATTAAATAAGAAGCTTATTACTATTTACCACAAAATTGTTTGATATCACAATCAGTATTCAATACATTGTATTTTTGAACCCTAGTATTTGCAAAACATCATGGTAATATGCCAAAGGCCATGTAAAGATGACTAAGATATACTCCCTCCCATCTTTATTGCCCTCAAAATGGAAATTGACTTCCTGAGGATTCTTAAAGTTTCACAACAATTATCACCATATTCTGGATACTTAGGGAAAAACAAGAATACAGCACTGGTGGTTAGGTATAAATTAAACTAAAGCAGTAATTCTGAAAATGTGTTCTAGAACCATCAGCATCAGTATTACCTGGGAAACACAAATTTTCACCCCTCTATCTCAGATCTAGGGAATCCCAAACCCTGGGAGTGAGGCCTAACCATGTGTGTTTTAACAAGCCCTCCAGGTGATTATGATGCATGCAAAGTTTGAGAACCTTCTTAGGGATATGCCCCTTCCCCCCTCAATTATGCAACTCATTCATTAAGGATGATACTGCATTCAACCATCACAATAATGTTAAACTATTTACACGGATGCCCAGGCTATAGCCTTGACTAGGGGTTCTCAAAGTGTGGTCCTTGGACCACAATCATCAGTATCATCTGGGGCCATGTCACCCCAGACCAATTGAATCTCTTCATTCTAGGAGACGAATTCAGCAAACTGTGCTTTAACAATCACATGTTTAACACCTCTGTGTTTTACAAGGGACTCTGATATAAGCCAAAATTTGAAAACCGTTACCTTAGACTTAGTGAAGTTATATTTTCACACCTGATTCTACTGTGAAGCCAGTTGAAAGTCATTGCACTAATCAAACGAATAATTGTCAAAGATTTCACACTTCCAACACCAGAGTTACCTAGCCACATAGAAGATATTTGCTATGTGAATAAACATTGTTTATAAGTGTCAAACCATTATTAAAGAGACATTCTTAATACAGAGATCATTTCAATTATAACAAGAGAAACTTTAAAGGAAAAAAAAGCTGCAAGATTAATTGCAATTTGTGTCCGATATTAGAGAACGGAAGTTTTTTTGGCTTTTCTATCATGGCCTCATGATCACTACTGTAGCCCTATCAATAGATAGAAGGCAATGATAGCTTTCACAGAGGTCCTTTGAACAAGTCTTATATCATATTGGCCATCCCATATGCAAAAGGTCTGGGAAACACAGTTTGGGGGTTTTTTGGCTAAATATATTGTTGGAATTCTGTTAGTAACAATAAAGGAGAGAATGGTGGAGATGGGCTGCTTTCCATTTCTGCAACACTGCAAAATTCACCTGCCCCCTCCAAGAAAAACAAAAAAGATTTTAACTTTATTGGCACCACATTATTAATGAAATGCATACTTTATGTGACAATTTTTCATGTATGTGTACTTCTAAAAGTATGATAGTATATTTTCCTGTATCTTCTTTTTTTCTCAAGATGATTTTTCCTTTCAAAGAGCTCTAAAATTTATATTTTGTTGACTAACTGGAGTGAACATCATTTATAAAAGTATTAAGGATTAGAAATCAATGAATAGAGGCTCCTAGGTGGCTCAGTTAGTTGAGCATCCGACATTTACTTTCAGCTCAGGTCATTATCCCAAGGTCGTGGGATAGAGCCCAGTATCGGACTCTCAGCTGAGCACTGAGTCGGCTTGACAGCTTGACTTTCTCTCCCTTTGTCCCTCTCCCTCAGTTGCACTCACTCACTCTCTCTCTCTAAAAAAAAGAAAAAGAAAGAAAAAGGAAGGAAGGAAGGAAGGAAGGAAAAAGAAAGAAAAAAAGAAATCAGATGAATAGGTAACATTATAAGCAATAAGGAACCAATTTTACATTTTGGAAACTTAGTGTAATCTACATAGTAATGAAAATATCCGGCAAATTGAATAAGGATGCCATGAAATCACAAGTATATTTTTCATCCAAAAATATACTTCAACTATGAAAAATAAATAAGATATGGTTGTGGTTTATCACATTCCTTTAAAGAAACCTTTGTTGATGGGGATAGGATTTGCTAAAATAGCAATTTCGTTTCTGTTCAGTGTTGCTTTTTTCTACAGACAAAAGAGAGCAAGTAAAGTTATATGACTTATCCATAATGTGGAAATAGCTGATTTTATAAAATTTTGAGAAATAACTAAATTAACAAAAATAAATTAAAATTCACACCAATTTTCAGAAGTTTAGAAGTAATTTTATACATATAAAGTCACTCCAAAGTAACAAAAACATTTTTAAAGTATCTTATTCAAAAAATTAGTTGGGGCGCCTGGGTGGCTTAGTCGGTTAAGCGTCCGACTTTCGCTTAGGTCATGATCTCGCGGTTCGTGGGTTCGAGCCCCGCGTCGGGCTCTGTGCTGACTGCCAGCTCAGAGCCTGGAGCCTGTTTCGGTCTGTGACTCCCTCTCTCTCTGACCCTCCCCTGCTCACGCTCTCTCTCTCTCTCTCTCTCCTAGAAATAAATCAAACCTTTAAAAAAAAAAAAAATTAGTAACACCTTTTTTATTCTGTGAAATCTTCTTTAAAGTTAATGTTAGCAAGTCTATGAGGAAACAGATATAATCATACATTGCTTATTATTATGTGTAATTTGCAAAATGTTTCTAAAAAGCAATTTACTTATATACAGCAGAAAACATAAAATCTATTTTCTTTTGAACAAGTACAACTTATGGGAGTATATCCCAAGAAGATAATCCAAAAATGTTTATAGAAATAAGAGGCAACTTAATGTCTAATAAGTTAGAAATGGTCAAGTTATATAAGATGATAGATGTCATTAAAATGCCATATGTAAGCGTGCAATATTGGTACATTAAAAGTGTATATGAAATCTTGAATGTGAAAAGGGTAAAACAATGTCAAGATAAAGCGAAGAAACTTACATAATCAGTTGATATTTTAAAGATAAAAGACCTTTCATTTATCCATGTAAAGCAAATTACTTAACAGTACCACGAATTTTTTTTTAATTTTTTTACATTTATTTATTCTTGAGAGACAGAGAGAGACAGAGTGGAAATGGGGTAGGGGCAGAGAGAGAAGGAGACACAGAATCCCAAGCAGGCTCCAGGCTCTGAGCAAGCCGTCAGCCCAGAGCCAGACGTGGGGCTCGAACCCATGAGCCCTGAGATCATGCCTTGAGCCGAAGTCGGATGCTCAACTGACTGAGCCACACAAGCACCCCTACCATGAATTTTTTAAAAGAAAGTATTAGCAAAGATTTTTATAAATGTAAATGCTATCCAACTTAAAATCATCTATCAAGTTAGAAGAAGCACAATATAATGAAAAGAGTCAAGAAACTTCAATTCAAATGCTTGGCTTTATATAAATCACCTTATGATCTCTAAGGTCCTTTGCAATTCTAAAAATGTATTTGTAAGAAGCAAATGGGCTCTGGGCACCTGGGTGGCTCAGTCACTTGAGTGCCCAACTCTTGATTTCAGCTCACGTCATGATCTCATAGTTCATAGAATGGAGCCCTGCATCGGGCTCTGTGCTGACAGCATGGAGCCTTCTTGGAACACTCTCTCTCTCTCTCTCTCTCTCTCTCAAATTAAATAAATAAATACTAAAATAAAATTTTAAAGTGAACAGACTCAAAAACAACTGGTATGGATTATCTGAAAATAAATCTGAAAATAAACATAACTTTAAAAATCTCATTCACATTGTAACTCCACTTAATAAGATTGTGTTCGTGAAATCTAATGTGGAATACTGACATTGGATATTTTTGCTGTTTTGTCAACAATTGATAAGATAGTTTAGTCTTGTTCACCTTTAGTTGGACAATAAATGCTTTCAGGAAATGATGTAGGAAAGTTATGAACCAGTTATTGCAGCAGGAGATGAAGTTGACCAGGTGACTGAATTGTAGCCAATGGAAAGTGGGTAGATCATAAAACTTTTCTGTGCATGATTCAACATTCTCTTTTCTTATTCACTGGCTTGAATCAAGGTATTGTAAAGACCTCAGGAATAGTGGAGGCATGAGATGGAAAGAAGCTGTGTTTGAAATGTCTTCCAACTGAGATGTGTGAGGGAGAAATAAGCTTTATTAAGACAATTGAAATTGGGGGATTCATGTGTTATACTAGCATACAGCATGTAACTAATGGTGTTACTCAATGGTGTTACTCTAATATGGTGGGTATCAAGTTGCTTTAGTATTTCGATTCTATTTGAACATCTAAAAAAAATGAAATAACAGCTTTATTATAAAAAGTCAAATATTTACAATATGCCAAAAATATATTCTTTGGATCCATTTAAACTTATTACAACAAATTTTAGATGTCAACAGAAATATCTGGAATGAAAAATTTAATCTGTGGTATTATGTGAGTGAAAATGTGTAAAGACCACCGCTCTGTGGCTTCACTATTATTCTCCTTAGGTAATTATTCCACTATTATTTTTCCATTTATTTACATGATAAAACTCTGGTGATATTATTCAGATTAAGAATCCACATTTATTTTTTTTTAAATAGTTTATTGTCAAATTAGTTTCCACGTAAGGAATCCACATTTAAACACATTCAATAAATCTGAAAAAAAACTACTATGGGACAAACATTTTATCTATCAGAGTTTTTTTTTAATTTTTTTTTAATGTTTTAATTATTTCTAGGAGAGAGAGAGAGACAGCATGAACAGGGGAGGGTCAGAGAGAGAGGGAGTCACAGACTGAAACAGGCTCCAGGCTCTGAGCTGGCAGTCAGCACAGAGCCTGACACAGGGCTCGAACCCACGAACCGCGAGATCATGACCTAAGCGAAAGTAGGACGCTTAACCGACTAAGCCACCCAAGCACCCCTATCAGAGTTTTTTTTTAATGCTGAACTTCTCTTTGAAA